AGGGCAGCAAAAAAAGGCCCACAGGTTTCACTGAAAAAAACCCTTAGTATCAAAATTTTCAAGCTGATCGTGTAACTTTGAGGACCTGACTCAGATTTTGTTCTGCTTGTGGGGTGGATGATATTTGCACTTCACAGGCATATTCCAAGAACTGAGTAACACCTATAATTGGGCTTAGGGATGAAAAATCAGAGAGCTATGGGTCCTTTGGTAGAACTCAGCAAAACTCAACTTTATTTCCAAAGTCAAACATAAAAAACGAAGGATTCAAGCGAAATTTTCATATGTAAACTATTCAAGTTCTGCAGAAGCAAAATCTCAACCCAAGTGAAGTTGGTGGCAAAATTCCCACTGGCTTGGCTGAGGCCAAATTCAGATCAACTCCCATGTTTAAGAGTGAAACGGAGAGATACTCATACAAATGGAATAAATACGCTTGCAAATTTATTTCCCATTCCCAAATTGTCTGCTGAGACATTATTTCTCCACCGGTTGTTAAATCTACCACTATGTAAAAAAAGCACGCTCCATGTAAAACCTGAGGCTACGGAACCTGGTACTCGCGCGCTCCAAGCGAAACAGAGAATACCCTTCCCTTCACCTTTCGGTGCTTATTATGTTGTCGAGCTAACGATTTCTGATTTCATAGAAAACAATAATAATTGCCCCCAACATCAAGCTACAGTCATTTTTTCCTCTTGCCCTCTTCTGTTTCTCAAGATACTGGAAAGAAGTATTAAGCTAATATAGCATGCAAATTATGTTCTACAAAAGCCCAGCCAAAAGGCTGCTTTAAAAAGCAGCGGTATGCAAAGGCAAAGACAGCTCCGTCCTCTCAGCCTCCCCCAGTCTCACCCCAAAAATCTAAACCAAACCCAAATTCTTTTCTTGGCCGTGACTTAAAGAGAAGATTTATTTTCTGTTTTGTCAACCGAAAACAAGTTTCCATCTCAGTAATTTCATTATTTCTTCTCTCCAAACACACGCAGGTTAACTATCACACAACAAATCTCATTTAATCACATAAAAAAGTCAAGTGATGGGTTTCAATTGCAAGATACCGACTTGGATGTCCTAAGTCTGTTTTCAGTCCGGTATCCAACTTTCAGCTCAATGCAATACACAACATTTACGTCTTTAAAAAAAATTGTATTTTTAGTATTGCCAAAACACACATGCACTTTTACTTTCTCGGGAGAAAATGTGTCTCTTGATTTGTTTCCAATCTGTGTGCTCTTGCCAGCAACTAAAATGCTTGAAGAACCAAAATGAATAATCGTTAAGAGCATCAGCAATTAAAGCTGCAAATTTTAATCAATACATCTATTAATACAAAGATATATTTATCTTGGCCAGGAAAAATGCGCACATTTTCAAAATCCTAAGCATACCTGGCCCGTTAAATTATTTGTTTCACAGACTCAAGGAAATCCAATGTCTACGGCAAATATATTATCAAACATCCTTTAGTCTTTTTTTCACTTCCAGTAATTTTTGTGGGGCTGATGTTTTTTTAGGTTCTTTTTCCCAAGTGCTGGTTACTAAATCCATTCCTTAACTTTCAATTTTCTTTTGTTTGTGTCATCAGGCTGTGAAACCGGAGGTCACTGCCAAATATAAAGCACGGCAGTGTGAGATAGGCTCAAAATGTGAGTCATCGTGCATTTGGTGATTTTTTTTTTTTCCCCCAACTATCAGCAGAGCACATCTCCACTCCTGTCTCCAAGTTCTTATACGCTAAATATCTCAACATTTCCCAAAAGCAGGTCTCCAGGTAGAGTTATCAAGGTCAAGAGACTCCAAAGACATCCCTGGAGCCCATGGTCAGGTAAACACTATTGAAGGCACCATGCCCCAGTACGGCCATGGGAGGCCAGGATATATTTAAGTACCGCGGCTATTTGATCGGTGAATAAAGAAGGAATATAGGAAATTATCCACGAGGCGGTAACAGATTAGCTACACAGCATATACCAGATTAATTTTCCGCATCTGTTTGTGGTGGTGGGGTTCACATGACAAAGCCTGCCAGCCAGCATTGCCACGCTGAGCCCCAGGACGGAGGGAGCTCTTCCAGCCCCGTGTGGGACCGCGCCAGCCTCCCCTCCCGGGGCGGGCAGGGCCACGGAGCATCTTATTAGGAGAACCAGCACCCCGGGCGAACAGTGTCCCTTTGCCCCCCCGTTTTGTGCCAACACAGCTCCCCAGCGCTCATGTTAGGGCTTTTCGCCAGTGCCCTCCCCAAGCACAGCAGGGACAAGCCATGCCTATGCTATTCTCGTTACGCACGAAGGCTGTCGGAAAAAAAAAAATAGGTAACTGCTAACCGCTGTGGCTATCCAATGAGACATCTATATTTATAAACTAAGTGCAAAGATGACTCGGTTCATTATTGAAGCAAAAAAACTTTTCAAAACCAGGTGCATTTCCACCACCCTCGACATTTATTCTACGTACTGTCAGCAATGGGTATTGCGTCGTCGGTGCGGTGCCACCCGACTCCAGGGGGTGTGGGTGCTTGCGTGGGTGCAGTTTTACTCAAAAATTCTGTCCCCAGCGCCACCATTTCCTTTCAGCAACAGATTTTCATTGCAGGGATGCACTCGGGGTCTGTTACATTCAAGAGGACTTCCAGTACGTTTAAGACCGCAAAAGCACCGGGAGTGAGGAGGGGGGGAGAAAAAAAAAAAAAAGACTGGGCAGTCATTTGAATCAGTGAGTGACAGGCTGGGCCAGCTCTCTGTATACATTAATAAATTAGAATTTTAATTGTGTCTCTGCCTGCAGGAGCTGCTCCAGTACTTTAATACGTACCAACAATTGGCTATGTTATGGAATCTGCGATGTGGCCTTCACTGTTGACCTCTGCAACACAATTCCCAGTCTGACTACGGAAACTGTTTGGTTTGATCCTTTCAACTTATTTGAATCCTGACAAATAAGCTCACAGCTGAAAGGTCAACACAGTCATATTTCATCCTCTGGAGCTATTCTTAAGACATCTGCACAACAAAGCACTTCTTTTAGTACCTGACACTGGACCTAGCCAGCACAATCTCTCATTAAAAACGTCCCCAGTGGAAGAGTCTATTAAAAGGCATATGGATCAGCTATGGATTTACCAAATAAAATATTTTTGAAAGCATTAATGTAACGCTTTGGATTATGGTGCTCTACGCTGCCAATAAAACGTATATTTGCCCAATGACAAAATGCTTCATACTTTCCAAAAGAATAATAGCTCGGCTATAAAGTGCAAGGTGTTGTCCAGCAGCCCGAGCACAGGGGTGGGAGCCAGGAACTCATGAATCTTAATCCTACCTCTAAACCCAATTCCCTCTGTGATCCTAAGCAAGTCACTTAACCTGCTTCCCTCAGTTTCCCAGTCCAGAACTGGGATAATGCTACTTACTTATCAGACTTTCCTTCTGGGGATGTTTTGGAGATTAGTATTTGCAAAATGCTTTGAAGATGAAATCACCACGCGAAAGCTAGAAGTTGTCCACGCTGGGCCAAGGGCTGCAGTTAATAGCTATTCCTCGCTCAGGCAAAACTCCCCTTCAAGTCCCCGTCAGCTTTATTTGGGTAAGAACGGCAGGATCAGGTCCCTCGCACTTTACTGTCAAGGCCTTTAGTGATGTTGGCTTTACCTTCCATATTCTACTACATATTTAAAGAGTCTAGGATCCGTATTTTTGGAGGAAAATAATCTGAAGCGCATATAAAAGGCAAGAGAAGCAGCAATGCTGTCAGGGAACTCACGGTGATAGTATATCAAACTAAAAAAAAAATTAGAAAGAGCAAAACAGACATGAGTTTGACAACGTGCTATGACAACAAGGAGAAAAAAAAAAAAAAACGGAAAGAATTTGGGGCTACAGAGGCTGAAGCATCAGATATAGAAGAGCGAGATAAGATAAATGTCCCAGCTACAGGGCTTTGTGCGACTGCAGCTGAACTGCTGTATTCAGTAACTTATTATCAAAAATACAGTGACAACGCTGCAATTGCAAAGAGAGCAATAATAAAAGCAATAACCAGCTGCAAAGCAGCAAAGTGGCCAAGGGTCTAGAAGTGCCGGTTTACGAAATACATAAAGAACTAGATACATATAATTTGCCAAAACTGGCAAGTACATGTTAGGATCTCAGATGTTTGAGGAGTGTGAACACGAGGCAAGGCAAGGGACTGACTCAGTATTTATACAAGCAGTATTACTTGGAGCAAGAGGATGGAATTAAAGTGGAAAGTTCCTGAGCGTGTGCTTTGTTATGGAAAACCGTCTGAAGGAAAATAATAGCGGTCCCACCACCACTTGGAATTTCTAACACTAGAACAGCAAAGAAAAAGAAAAAGAAAAAAAAAAAAAAAAAAAAAAGGAAAATGTGATACATGACCCAATAGGTCTTTCTTGTCTTTAACTCCCATGATTTATCCCCCAAGACTAGCAGAATGTACTCCAAAGCCGCACATGTGTGCATACATCTTCTGTTTGGGAATGCTGTATTGGTTTTAGCTTTCTGAATTCATAACAGCGCAAAGCCCAATAATATTTAGATTTTATTTCTGAAGATGTCCATAAATCAGCAGACAATAAAAAGGGAAAAAACACACTGATGATACGATATCCTAGTATTTCCCAATATCCTTGACACAGCAAATCAACGGTTTGAGTGAACACAGACTACAAACGGAACAGCAATCAAACAGAAATGTTAATGCAAATCTCCTATGCACACTGACACGGTAACAAAAGCTATTCCATTTTGTCATGATCCAACCCAACCAGATGCTAATAAAAGTACACGCTCACGATTTGTAAATACGCCGTGGGTGGGATTTTCAAAGGCACCTAGCACCGGCCCTCATGCCACAGCTGCTCTGTGGACTTCACCATGAGGAAGCTCCTGAAGGTCCCACCCCAACATTCACAAGGAAGACGCGTTTATTCAGCTTTTACAAGCCCCAGCCCCTGACGGACGCACATGGGCTCCCCCTACCTGAAGGGCTGGCTGTTTGTCATTCCTCTTCGGAGACTTTAATCCACTAACTTGTTGCT